AGTTATACGACTATTGCTGCATTGAAGCTTGATCCCAAATGTCTTTAGCCCATATTTCAGAGCTAGAAAAAAGAGGATGCATTATACAGGGTAATCCTGTGAACGATTACCATTTCAGTGCATTTCCCAACTTACTAGTGGCAAAGAAAAAATCTTCTCTAGTAAAAAAATTATCAAAATATGATTATTTCCATTATATTTTGTAATTCAAATTCTCCAAAAATACCCATCATATGAAATACCCGTCACGTCGTGAGAGATGTTGTCTCATTTTGCTCGAAGCGCTTCGGAGGGTTTATTGCAAAGAAACAGGCCAGAAGTCTTCATTTTATTGAAGGTGACTTCAGCCCGGATACCTAGCACAACAAGTAACAGGTTAGGCGCTATTCTGACTCACAGCTGTTGGGCTGGTATAATCAGAACAGAATATGTTGAGCATCAGGCTAAACTTCAAAAGTTGCATAAGCCTAGAACAGTTAGATCGTCATTTTCATAAAAAATACATCACTAGTATCACATGTATGTATATAGTAACTATCCTCACTATTTTAGGTACCGCAAACAGCCACCTGCGAGGATGCTATCACCCTGTTTCTCGAAAAGTAATCGCAAGCATTTCCTCCAAGGTCATAGACCGTGTCTGATTTGGTGATTTCCAGAAGAATCTCCAGTGTGCCAGTTCTCGATTCGTGTGGCCGTATACTTGGCGTTATAAGCAAAAGTGACGTGATGTCCGAATTAATACGTCATCCGAACAACTACCTCGAAATTCTGGAAATCCCAGTAATGGTAAGTTTTGTTTGAGATACAAACTCTCTGCAAAAAATGAGTTCTCTGGATTTTTCAGTCATGAGTATCTAAAATTTGTTAGAAATCGTAGCTCACGAAAATCCTCCTTCCTGAATTCGCATGTTTTTTTTAAATGTAAATAACCTGATTATAAGTGCCCTTAGCAGCTATTCCCTCATAACAAAAACGAACGTAAAGTACACAAACACAGGCACGCATAAGCACTGCAGCAGACACCCTTAGCGAATTATACATATACAGGGGGGGGGGCAAAAAAAAAGACATTTTGCCCATGTCGCACTTCGGCCTTTTTTCTTCGCAGAGATTGCCGTCGTTGACGGAAGTTCCTCAGCAAAATATTCCTAAATGTCCCTCTATAAGTACACGCAGGCCCTCCTTCACTGCCCTCACCGTCTTCAGAATATGACGTCATCTGTCACCGTCGTCGAGCTCAGGGAGGCCTACAGTAACTGCTTCAGCCTGAAGCTCTTACATAATTTCTTGGATCGATTCGTGGATAGTTTTCGGGATTAGCTCTAACTATGCAAACCCCCTCGGAACCCGCCCTTCGGAACCCGTCGTAACGGTACACGATCAGTCGAGAACCCCATTGAGCTCGACCAGAGCACCATGTTTCCGGGGCAAACTTTTCTGATGCCGTCCACGTAGATGGCCACTATGAAGATTTTCTTATGAAATGAAATGCGCTCTTTATCTTGGAGACAAAATGTATTTTTTTATTAGCCCCCCCCGTATAGCAGGTTTCGTATTGTATATAAGCCTTATCGCTTTCCAATACGCCTCTAGTGGAAGTGAAATGCCCGGCGGGCCCCAAAGCGAGTTGGTCGACGCCGAATGCTTCTCCTCTATCGTTTAGTGTAAATATGCTGACTCACAGACAATTTACGAGGTTTTGCTCTCTGTTTCACAGCAAAAATTTGCTGTCGCAAGAGAAATCCGACAGCATAATTGTCAACCTGGTAGATGCTTGCATGAATTCGGTTTCATCTACAAGTTAAAGAGCCACATAGGATTGATTTCGTGTGTCACTTTGTTTGGCAATTAGACAATGCGCGATGAAGAAGGTTATTAGGAAGAAGAAGTAAAAGAGCCATATAAGAGACTGCAGCTTCCTTTGTAAGGTCAGCTAATGGTATGGTGGAGAGACATGGGGCTTCGAGGAGAGGGAAAACATGAGAGAGCGCGGCCTGCGCGAGAGGGCGCAGGCGTCTTGTATGCCGCGATTGGTATGGATGGCACCGGCAACGAAAATAGCCTTGGCACCCTTGCTGCCCACTTTTGAGTCGCGGCTCCCGTACCACTTGAGAACCCCTCTTTCTCACCCAAGAAGGGACTGGCTAGTGGCACCTCATCCGAACCCATGGCTTCACGTATGTTTGACGTCTGACTAGGGGATGGTTATGTGGTGGAATGCAGTACATTCATAGAACTACAGAGGTACGCTAGAAAATCGTAACCTAAATGTTAACGACAGTACTAAACCTAAAACTTGAGATAAAAAAGGATAAAGCATTTGCCGTTGATCAATCCCGTTTTTGGGATGCGGCACGCATTCTACTTCCATTTGTACATTCGTAGT